TGATTGAGCTGCCATTATTTGCTCAATCGACATCATAGGAAGGTTGGGAAGAGTAAGAGCCGAGGCACTCGGCCCAACAGCGCTTACGAGATCATTCAGATCCGGAAAGAGAGTAAGGGGACGGGATGAGACCATGAAGTAGCCGAGAGAGATGTAATCGACAGGAGAGTCGTTTTTGGCAGCCTTTCTGCTCTGCGCAATCTCTCTATTCTATCTCTCTCACGTAGAAAAAGAAAGAGATGGAAGGGAATAAGAAAGAAGAAGGAGAAGAACGTGATTAAGATGAAGACGAAGGAGAATAAGACAAGAGGGAGCGAAAGCTGAGGCTGTTGATTGACCCGTCTCCCTTTTGTTGTTTAGCTGACACAAAAGCGAGGACGCTTGTCTGACGCGATTTTCGACGGAACAGAGAGAGGCGCGCGAATCGTATATATATGTATATATATGTTTTGAATTGTATAGATGTCATTTATCACTATCATTTTTCTCCTCTTCCTCCAGATTCTTACCCATGATTTTCTTTTGATAATGTCACAGGGGGAGAAATTATATGATGTTATGTATTATGGTATTATTTTCAAATTATGATATTATTTGAAAACTAATATGATGTTATGTATTTATAATTTGATATCTTAGTCTCAGATCATGTTTCTAATTAAAGCTTATTTATTACACATGTGCTAACCTATGTTTTTAGAAATAAATTCAGGAAGCATGACTTGAGGGGGAGCTTTTTCTTACTCCCAAATAAAATCAAAACATCATTGTGTGCCATCATAAAAAATGGAGAGATTGTTAGACTTATTTATTTTTGTTACCCAAAAGACAACCTAAGAGGGGGGTGAATTAGATTTTTACAATTAAAAATTAATAATACCCTAATAAAAATTATGACTAGTACAATAGATAAATATAGTTAATGAAATAAAAATAATTAAAACAAGTGTTCTAACAACTATGTCAGTTACTGATTTTAGCACAGTGAAAATGTGAATTATAGCTACAACAATTTAAATAAAATAAAGAGATAAGGGAGAGAGAGTCAAACAAATTTATATTGGTTCGGCTTCAACTCGGCCTACGTCCACTTCTCAAGCTTCGCTTGAGATTTTCCACTATGCTCAAGCTTCACGAGGGTGCTAGCAACCTCTTTACAAATGGAGCAATCCTCCACGGATTTTACACAGACTTTCTAAGTCAATAATATTGAGTGTACTACACTCTTACAAGGTTGAAAAGAATGTGTTTTTTCTTTCACAGAAAGTTACAAGAATTATCTCTCAAAGATAGATATAAAAATGAAGCTTTGGTTTTCTATAAACCTCACACAGGAAAGATGAGCTTAAAACTATAAGGCTCAGTGTATAATTTCTGAGAATAGATGCAAGTGATTATAGATCAAAGAATATTTTCAAATTTTTTTTTACTTGTTTACATTAGAGGCTTTGGTATATATAATGAAAATTATAGCCGTTTATAGCCGTTGTATTCATTTGAATTTATAACTGTTTATAGTCGTTGTACTCCATCATTGCTAATTTTAATATCTTCCACTCCATTATTACAAATTTGAATATCTTTCACTTGAACCTTTTGAACAGCTGCTATGCTGGGCTGTTTGAACTCCCGATTTAATCAAATATTAAATACATTCTAATAACATTTAGGATAAAGGTTTAGGTGAGAAATAATGGGACAAAATAAATTTTGATTTTATTAAAACATAAAATCATCAAAATAAATGTTGATTCTATTTTTCTCTTTCAAATAAATCATCAAAATAAATTTTGATTCTATTTTTCTCTTCCAAATAAATTAAAACATAATTAAATAATTCATCAAAATAAATAAGTCCAACAATTTGATGATTTATTTAATTATGTTTTAATTTATTTGGAAGAGAAAAATAGAATCACAATTTATTTTCATGATTTATTTGAAAGAGAAAAATAGAATCAACATTTATTTTGATGATTTATTTAATTATGTTTTAATTTATTTGAAAAAGAAAAATAGAATCAAAATTTATTTTGTCCCACTATTTCTCACCTAAACCTTTGTCCTAAATGTTGTTAGAATATTTGATTAAATCAATAGTTCAAACAGTCCAAAACAAAGGTTCAAACAGCCCAATAACAGAGTTTCAAACAACCCAACACAGCAGCAGTTCCAAAGTTTCAAGTGGAAGATATTCAAATTTGTAATGATGGAGTGAAAAATATTCAAATTAGTAATGATGGAGTGGAAGATATTCAAATGAATACAACGGGTATAAACAGCTATGAATTCAAATGAATACAACAGCTATAAACTGCTATAAGTTTCATTATATATACCAAAGCCTCTGATGTAAACAAGTAACAACAACTACAAACAAGTTACAGAAACCATAAAATATTCTTTGATCTAAAATCACTCTCATCTATTCTCTGAAAAAAAAATTGAGAAGTGTTCTTCAATTTTTGTTTACATCCTTTCTCTGAAATTATACATTAAGTCGTATAGTTTTAAGCCCATCTTTCCTGTGTGAGGATTACAGAAAAATCAGAGTCTCATTTTTATATCTATCTTTGAGAGATAATTCTTGTAGCTTTCTGTGAAAGCAAAAACACCTTCTTTTCATTCCTGCAAGAGTGTAGTACTCTCAGTATTTTTTGGACTTAAAAAGTCTGTGTAAAATCCGTGGAGGATTGCTTCATCTGTAAAAAGGTTGTTAGCACCCTATGAAACTAGAGAATAGTGGAAAATCTCAAGTGAAGCTTGAGGAGTGGACGTAGGCCGAGTTGAAGCCGAACCACTATAAATTTGTTTGCCTCTCTCTCCATGATCTCTTTATTTTATTTAAATTGCCATAGGTATATTTCATATTTTTATTGTGCTAAAATCATTATTGACATAGCTGTTAGAACACTTATTTTAATTATTTTTATTTCATTAACTATATTTATCTATTGTAATAGTCATAATTTTTATTAGGCTATTATTATTTTATTTGTAAAAACCTAATTCACCCTCCTTCTTAGGTTATCTTTTGGGTAACAATTTATGTCTCAGTTAAGGTTGGTTTGGCAACTTTAAAAAAAGTCAAAAAGTCAAAAAATTACCAAAAAAGTTAAAAAGTTATCACTATTCACCAAAAAAATATAAAAAAATTAATATACAAATATTAAAATACAAATAAGTTTTGCGCCAACCTAGGTACTGACGTCAATTTGAAAGGCAGTGAAAGGAAAAAAAAATTACATGTGTATATTCACTAAGTTGGATGGTAAAGTTAGACCTGGGGGCCCACCATGTTCCCGTTTTGATAATCCGAACAGTTTAATATGTAGAACTCGTCTAGTACTATATGCCTGTAAAAAATCACATCTATCGGATATCGTTAACTACATGATCAAATCAGTTTTGTATAAAAAATGAATGGTGTTATAGTTAACAATTAACAAAAAAACTAACACGATCAGATAGCTATCGATATCAAATTAACGTGATTTGTTATAAGCATATAGAATTCGACGAGTTCTACACATTGAACGGTTCCGATTAGAAAAATGGGACCCGTGGTGGGCCCTTACGGGCCGAATAACATCGTCTAACCAAAGCCCGAAAAGGAGGCAATCTTTTCCCATGTCCTAGCCAGCCGACTGCATTGCCCAACCTGTACGGATTAATTAATTATCTTCTCCTATAAACTTATTTATACAATATTTTAATACACATTTTTTCATAAAAAGTCAAAAAATTAATCCAAACATCCATATTTTTTTTTCAACTTTTTAGTCCAAAAAGATAAAATGTACACTTATTTAAGACACCCCAAACAACCCCTTAGACCATCTCCAATGCTTCACTAAACCTTGCATCAGATTTTAAATTTGGTAAAAAAGTCACTTTTTGCAGCTCTAATGGTTTCATCAAATTGGTATCAAAACGAGAATTCACCAAATTTTTCATCAAAGTGACAACAGGGGGAAGATTTCACCAATTTACTGTGCGTGACCGTTGGGGGAGACCAACCAGTCAACCAGCCGGTTGACCGGCCGGTTGACCAACCGGTCGACCGGTCCCTTGCAAATAGGTTGGTTCAAACAGGTCAAAAGATTCAAAGAGGTTAAAAAAAAAAATACACTAATCGGTCGACCGGCCGGTTGACCCCTACTTTGATAACAACCATTGGAGCAGTCTGTATCAGATTGAGAAAATGGTCTTTTTTTTACTCAGATTTGATGAAAAATTTGGTGAACCGTTGGAAATGCTCTTAGTGTGTTAGTTAGTACATTAATTAATATAATATTAGATAAGACCATTTTAAGTGGTTAAAGTCACACAACTAACTTATGTCTTAGTTAGTAGTTGTTTGGGATGTGCTATATAAGTGTACTTTTTAATTTTTGATTAAAAAAGTAAATATATATATATATATATATTTGGGATAATTTTTTAACTTTTTACGAAAATATGTGTAATAAAATATTGTGGTAAAATCAAAATGACAATTTACCCTTTTTGACTTTTTGGGTAGTTGAATTCAAATAGCAAAATAATAATTTTGCCTTAGTGACTTCCCGTACAAGCTACCCTAGAATAGTATAGGTTTTTTAACTTTTTTAATAACTTTTTGACTTTTTTAGTTTATCCCAAATAAGGCCTTACTAATTAGTGTTCAAAAATGTTAGAAGTTCTAAAAATTCTATCAAAATTTCTATTAAATATCTCACATGAGTATAGGACCCACATAAAATTGCCATGGTGTGGATCTCACACTTATAATAAAAATTTTGATAAAATTTTTAAAGTTTGTATTATTACTCATTAGTATTTCTAGCAATAATATTATTGTTTTAAAAACTTCTAGTACCTAATATTTAAGATTATCCAATACCAGAACAACGAAATCCTAGTTTGTGATGGGGAATATAAATCTCCCGATAGCCAAACAGATCCAGCAACCCGTCAATGCCGCCTCGTTGTCACCACGGTATCCTATCCCCCTCCTCTGTATGGGTATACAACTGCCAGCGCAACTCGGTCTCCTCTCTCTCTTTCTCTCATAATTTCATTTCCTTATTCTTCGTCTTCAACAAATATAAAACTAGGGTTTAATAAGGGTTTTATACATCAACTCATCAGAGAGCAGAAAAAAAATGCAGCCCCAGACACCGCAAGCGATGAAAACACAATCATTGTTCCCTTCAATGCCAAATACCATCACTACCGATGAAATTCAAAAGGTTTGTTTACTCCACGCTTTTGCATTTTCTGTACAAAGCAGATTCTATAATTGACCTTGTTTGAATTCACTGATTTCAGCCTTCTTTTTCGGTATATGAATGATACAATAATGTTTAATAGACTTTTTTTCACTTAGTTTTCTTGTATCTTGTCCTTGATGCAGTACTTGGATGAGAACAAAATGTTGATTTTGGCCATACTGGAAAATCAAAACCTTGGAAAACTCACCGAGTGTGCCCAGTAAGTGAACGCTTCAAATTGTAGGACCGAGTTTTTCATTTATTCTTAAAATTTGTTGCAGCTTTTAATTGTTTGACCAAGGCATCACAAAGATATATATGAACTGCACTACTATTGTTATTTTTAAAAAAAAATAATAAAAAAAAAAATTCCGGGGATGGCGATTGGTATGCAGACTTGTTTTCATATGCTTTTTGTCTGAAACTTTGTTAGAGTCTTTTACATGTCTAACTTCAGGCAACATAAATCATTTTTTGAAATGCACTGGAATTGTTAGTTTCACATGAAGGATATCTAACATGGTTTGAGAAATCTCTTCTAAATTCAACATTTTCAATTTGCAGTTCCTTTCTGATTCTCATAATTCTCTAGCCTCTTTTTGTTTTCATTTTTGTGTGCATGAATTTGTATTTGTATTTGTATTTGTATTTGATACTAACGAAAGAAGACAGTTAGTACAAAGAAGAAAACCTTGATTGGTATCACTCTGGAAACAAGGCAAATAATTTACAATGCTAAGTTTAGGTCTGGTGTCTGATGATTTTTATTTTTAAAACAAAGACCGAAAAGACAGTCATGAATTGAAAATTAATAATTTTGATTAGAACAAAAAGGGTAAGAGCTATAAATTTTGTTGTGTAGAATGTGTGAGGGTCATGTAACTGTGTAGGATAATGAGTTGAGGAAGGCAGAAGAGTTAATTTCATAAGTTAGTTACGCAGGAAACCAACATATATAGGTCTTTTCAGGATGAATGCTGCTCGGTTTTATTTTTTAATTCAGTGATCACAGTCACAGAAGTTACATGTGTCTGGATTTTTCCTGGACATGGAACTCTGGGGGCCTTTGCCTGAATGTTGAGTTGGCTTACCTTAGTACTGACTTGTTGGGATTGAACTTGGCCTTGGTGTCTTTCCTAACTCTCGATATATTCAAAGCCACAAAAGTAATCAAAGAAGCCAATTATAATTCTTGCGAGTGCCGACGTTGCAAGTATTCCCAAGGAATTGTAAATTTTAAGAGATTTCCTAGAAAGTTGAAGATAAGAATGGCTTTGAACTTGATGATATTTTTATATAATTTGATTTTTTCCCCCTTTTTTCGTTAGATATTTTTATTACCAAAAGAAGGAAGATAGTCAATGATGCTGAAGACATAACAAGTTTTCAAGTATTTGTGTCGTTAACATACACTCCAGTGATTGTGACTTGTGAAGAAGAAAGTTCTTGTGGTCTTCATCGACTTATGAAAAATCAATATGATTTCAGGTTCTTAGTGAGGAAGTTTGGAAGTTTCCGAGAATGAGTATCATATGGACATTAACATGGTAAGGGACACGTCTGAGATAGGAAAGACAAATTTAAGCAGAAAGATATGAGTTTCCAAGCGCAATATAATCATGAAAGAGGTGGACACTGTTCCCCTAATTTTTCTGCTGCTTGTGATGAACTAATTGGCCACTTCTTCTTCTTCTTCTTCTTCTTCTAGGTGAGATTTCATGGCATATGTTATAAATAATCTCGTTAGTTTAGTTGAGAAGAGAATAGTGTGGCTCATTGCCTTCTTGGAAATTTAGATGGAGGTATAAGATTCAAAGGTAGCTAATATCATGGCATATTGGATGCATGGAGGCCAATTTTTATAAATTACAACTAGTAGAAGCAATCAAGATATGGTGCAGGATTTTGCCACTAACAAATTATACATACAATAAGTATAGGTTGGGGTCGCGATGATAGCAAGATTAAAATAGGTGTGATTAGATGGAAATGCATCCATGAACTTAAACATAGCATCAATCAAGGACTACATATGAGTAAGTTGGCTACAATGGTTTGATTGCTTTTAATGTAGATTGCCTTGGTTTTCTGCCGTTCTTTTCCCTTCAGACAACTGGACATGATTTCTGGGTGAAGTCAAATTAGCAGGGTGGCCAATGCTGTGTTTGGAGGCCTTGAGAAATGGCAAGTCAGCCTTGAAATTAATAGGATGATGGCCCTCAACATGGGCAGAACTGTGAAGAAATATTTGTGCAACCATCCCAAGTAGTTGGGGCAGGGCTCTATGTCTGTCATCCTTATTATTGTTGAAAATTATTGGGAAAGTTAAGCTGATTTATGTAGGTTTTCTCTGTCCAAACAATCAGCTCTAGTTGTTCATTTTTCTTTTCTGCAAGTTTAGAATTCAAGGAATCCTTATTTTGAAGTAATAATTTCAAGTAGGATGGGAAAACTTGAACATATCCCCACTTAAATCAGTGGGTTAAAATTCTGCAATATTCAAACATTTTATGATCAGACTGATGTTCTGCTTTTGAATTTCAGTGATATACCACTAGTTAGTGCCATAATTACCAAATTTAATCTCAAGTTTTTGGCTAACTTTCAAAGAAACATAAATTTTCAGTCGGTATTGGACACTAGTTCAAGTCACAACTTGGGGAACTCATGATCTTTTCCATATTTATGCATATTACCCTTCAAAATCATAGGAATATGTCGATTTTAAGAGACATCTAACTTTTGAGAATTTGTATGGGGAATCTCAAGGTAAAACCGAATGGGTCATATCACTCTTTTTATCTGAATATATTTAACTTTGCGTGATACTTGTTTAAACAACAAGGTCACCACACCCTCATGACAATTTGAATCACTCAGGTATCAAGCCCAACTTCAGAAGAACTTAATGTATTTAGCTGCAATCGCTGATGCCCAACCGCAAGCACCAACAATGTCTTCTCAGGTTGGTTAACTGACGAATTGTGGTGGTTTCAAAACTTCTTGTGGCATTACAGCTTCTTGCTTACAACTACAAAATATGCAGACTTCCCTTCAATCTGTCGTGCAACAAGAGCACCACATCCAACAGCCACCTCTGCCTGCAACAACAGCTCAGCAACAACAAACTAGTGTTTTGCCTCCAAAGCTGCCTTTCCATCCTAGTAATGCCCTTCAGTCTCAAGATCAACATCAGTTTCTCCTCCAACAACAACTCATCCAGCAGGGGCAGACGGGCATGAGACATCATCAGGCCATGCAAATGGGACTTGCCACTTCGGGCAGTTTGGCTGACCCACGCAAGACTGGTTCTGGTGGCAATCGAGGAGGGCATTCAGCTTCTGGACGTGGTAGTAGGGATTGAGATTCTCAACTCTCAGATGTCTACATCCATCAGTTTATCCCCATAGGTGGTGTCATAGTGCTTTGGAAGTTCTCATATTGGCACATCTCTATAGTTTTTTTTTTTTCTCCTTAAAATTCCAGAGTGGTGGTTTTAGCATTGCATTGGACCGACATTATCTTTTTATCACATAAAAAAATTTGCAATAGAAGAAGATACAATCTTTGGGCAACACGCAAATGCAAGTTGTATTCACTTTTACTCGAGGGAAGAGGTACAATCCAGAAGGAATGTTGTTAATGTTTTTTTTTCCCTTTCTTTGGCTTAGGCAAAGTAACACCAAGACTTGCGACCATCTTGTTTAGAAAGTATTCTTAGAAGGATAAGATGTCCTTTAATTGACTAAATAATTTTTACTGGGTTTTTGGAGGGCAAATAGAGGGGGCCCTTATCTTAATTGCTGGATGGGAAGCATAAATCCAAAGCAAATTCTCTTCTCCAACACACCATGGGTTGGATTCAAAATCTTCATCCGCAAAAGGAAACCTAGAGCTCCTTACTGGGAAAAAAAGAAAAAAAAAAAAAAGAAAAAGTGAAAGTGAAAGTTTCCAAAATAAATAGTGGAAAAAAAAAAAAAAAATCATTTTTTCATTTTCTTTATCATTTAAGTTAGGTTGGAATCATGAATTTATATGGGGATTTTAAAAGCCAAAATTTTCATTTTGCCTTTTTAAATCTCTACACAAAATCTATATATTATATAAGTAAAAGGAAATTTTTAATAAGAAGTGTTAAAAGAGCTCTAAGGTCTCGTTTGGAAACATGCTAATTAACTAACTTTTTGGCTATTTAGTTAAAATATGAACTAAAAAAAATTAGTATGTTTGGGATAATTTTTTGACTTTTTACAAAAAGAAGTGCAAAAAGTAGAGAGAAAATAGAATTTTTGACTTTTTAGTATGGGTTGTTGGCTTTTTGGCTTTTAGTAACTTTTTGACTTTTTAGCTAAACTGGCCTGTTGCCAAACGGGGCCTAAGTGCTCAATCCAAATTTTTTGATTTTTCAATTTAAAAAATAATTAATAAATCACTCACTAACACTTTCTTTTTTAAATAAAGAATGCATTTTTTATTTCTAAAATCATTTCTTCCTTACCATCAAACAAGAAAAGAATTTCTAATTAAGAAAAAATAATTAATAAATCATACACTCAAAAAAAGGAGTTTTCTAATTAAAAAATAAATAAATCTCACCCTCAAAAATATTTCTTTGTAAAATATATTTTAAATTCTTCATCATAAAGCATAAAATAATTTATATAATTAAAATTTCGTAACATGTTTTTGTTTTTGTTTTTGTTTTTTTTTTCCCTCTCACTATGGCCATTACTATTTAACGTATATATCAAACTCATTATTTTCATACATAGTAAATGGTAATAGGGTTTTTTAATGTTCAAACTCTTAACTCAATTTTTTTTAATTTTTAATTTTTTTTAATAATGAAAATACTAAGTGTCATTATGTGTCGCATTTTAATTAGTTCATAATTAAATTTATGGACTTCTATATTAAACCCTTAAATTATGCTACCATAATTACCATCTAATTACTTAATTTACGTATACCATACCAAATTTATTTTCAAAATTGCTTCCCTAAGATTGCATTAATGCATGATTTTGATACATTCATACATACACACATAGAAAATAAATAATTCTTTAACTCAAAATTTAAACATTATTGATTCTTTAATATGGCTAGGGTTTGTCTCCAGTCCTCTATCAGATTGGAGAGGTGTGGGCTCACTTGCTTACCTAAGATTGTATTAATGCATGATTTTGATATATTCATACATACACATATCGAAGATATTTAATTCTTTAACTTAAAATTTAAGCATTATTGATTCTTTAACATGGTCGGGGTTCTCTCCAATCCTTCATCGGATTGGAGAGGTGTTGTTGGGCCTTATGGGCTCACTTTTGAGCCCCATTTTGATAATCTGAACTATTCATATTTTTGGATTCGTCGAGTACATCATCCCTTTAAAAAATCAAGTTGATCAGATAATGGTAACCATGTGAAAAAAATAGTTGGTGAGAAAATAAACAGTTCATACAAAATTGATCAAAACATGTGATTTTCGTTATCTGATTGACTAGATTTTTTGTAGGCATGATGTACTCGACGAACCCTAAAATATAAACGGTTCGAATCATCAAAATAAGACCAAAAAATTGACCCGTTGAATGTTTAATACAATATTAGAACCCCCAAACTAGCTCATACCGGTCATGAATTGATAAATTATGATATAATTTATACATAATGTTTAAATTTATTGTTGTCAAATATTTTTACTACGATTAATGCTAAAATATGACATATAATTCACGGCAACTCTATTTTAGATAATTTTTTAATATATGAATATATGTAACTATTTATTTGGTAACATAAATATATAATTTTTTACCTAAGTACAAATTTTTTAATAGATATGCATAAAATATGTTCATATTTCTTATTTAAAAAATAAAAATTACTTATAGATATTTATTTACCAATTTAATAAATAAATAGGTCAAATGATTCATAAGTTGGGCATACACCAAGACAATTTTTAATGATTAGGTAATGGCCACGTTGACATAAATATATAAGTCATTTATGTATAACTCTGATAAAAATGAATAAAATTTAATTGATTATAAATCATTTTTACTTCATATTTTAGATAAATTTTATATTGTTATTGAGAGGGTAATTTGTGTAACCAAATTAGGCTAAGATAAGTAGAAGTGGCCATGTGGCTTGGGTTGAGCTAAATGAAAGAACTAACTCGATGCTAGGTTAAGCAGACAATAGACCGGTCAAAGATAGGTGACCGGATTAATGAAAGCCCATCATTAACCGAGCTACAGCAGAAGACAGTCAAACGAAACTAGGAATAAGGTTCTGACCCGGCTGCACTATGTTAGTCTAGTGGTGCGCCGTGTAAGCTTAGGACGACAGTGTTTATTGCTCGGTATTGTCAATGGCAAATAGAGTAAAATTAGCTCGGTCAGGTACGTTGACCGAGCAAAGAGTTGAACCATCTCACTTGGTTTGCAATGGAGAAGGTGTCAAAGGATAACCATTATCCTTAGGAATGGGATTCCTAGGAGGACTTTACCAAGGAGAGTTAGAATCCTACTAGGATTATGCCATGCGGAGTCTACGAAAGCTCAAGCCAAACTCTTATCCAGGTATTGCAAGTCATACTCCCAAATTCGCAGAGATTTTGTATCCTTAGTCTATTTGCTGACTTAGGCATTAGAGGAATTTCCAGCACACAGTGGCCGGCTAGCTCACGTTTGTGATTTCAGGCATTATGACAACGTTTAGAGGAGTGTAAGCTTGATCAACAGGATTATACGAGTCAAGATTATTTCATGCTCATACAATTGGCGCCATCTGTAGGAAGCATCAAAGAACTTACCTTTTGATCGAGTTTTCCTTTAGCAAGTTTCAATGGCACATAATGAAGATCAGCCACAGTTTGCCATTGATGGCCAGACGCTAGAGAGAAATAGAAGGAGTGACGACTTGTCTCCTACTCCACATATGGCGGATTTAGACCCGCAACGACAAAATCCTCAAAGGGATGTGCAAAAAAAGTGAGGTTTAAGCCCTCGCCACTCCCGAAGTTTGGATGGACAAAGGCGACGGACAGACACCTAGGTTCTAGAAGATCAGATGAGGGAGGAAAACGAGTAGACATGATGACTTTAAAGCGCCAAGTAAAAGGCAAAGGCGTGGCCGGGGTGGAGATCCACGAATGGCGAACGCAATCCCACCATTCTAGGGATTAGGTTAAGTATGCCACGTCTACGCATTCCGAGAGTAAAAGCCTCTAGACAGGCGACACTCATTCAAGAACCTCTAGAACTCACTACTCCAGGTCTGAGAGGGCAAGGTCTAAAAGGTCGTACAATGAGGGAAGCAATTATCGACCCTCACACACTCATCAAACATCTACACGACATACTGAGTTAGCAAAGTCAGTAGATTTGTGGACTGTCTTGGATGAGAGGGCACGAAGGAGAGAAGTTTCCCAAGCACAAGACCCCCAAAGGGTGTCTGCATTACAGCGATTGGCTTCTAGAACGCATGGAAATGTCGAATTGCAATGCTAATGTTGCATCTCGCCTATAAGCCAGCAGACAGAGTATTGGCAAGACTATAGAGCTCACCGTTCATTCTAGCGATAGAGAATGCATCACTGCCTTTAGGATTTAACCAGTCTAAGTTTACAATCTACGATGAGAAGTCAGATCCGTACATACAGCTTAGCCACTTTTGACAAGTAATGGCTATACACAGGCGGAATGAGCCTTGATGTGCATCCTGTCTCCTTCAAGTCTTGGGGAATTGGGCTTGACTTGGTTTGAGAGATTACCAGAGGGAAGCATTGCCTCCTAGGTGCAACTCGTTAAGGCATTTGTTACCAGGTTCAAAAAAATACCAAAACGCCTATAGAAATCGACCAATTGCTCGCCATTGACATGGGCGAGAAGGAAACACTGAAGTCCTACAACAACCGGTACTGGAAGACATTCAATCAGATTAGTGAATGTCCCACCAACCTAGCGATCGCACAGTACATTCGAGGATTGCCCGTGGCGCATACACTGAGAGATTCCATGACAATGACTTCACCCTTTACCATGAAGGCCTTAATGAAGAGAGTCCACCAAAACATAAAGGTAGAGGTGGATGACGCCTGCGCCAAGGCAAAGTCCGGCACAACAGTGATGTCGAACAAAAAGACTTCGGCCAAGGTAAACACAGTTGGAAAGAAAAGTCAGTCGAACAACAATAATCGCAACGGTCCACCGAAAGATGAGGACTCCAAAGCAAGGAGGTTGAAGGTTCGCATTGTCGTCATGGTGGTTTTTAAGAAGCCCATCTACCGAATACTTAGCGAAATACGCGATGAACCCTTTGTTCGGTGGCCTGTCAAATTGGGAGAAGCGCGAAGGGCTATGACGAGAGATATCGGAGCACCTTCTACGATGAAGTTGGGCACCGAACTAAAGATTGCACACCATTGAAGCAACACTTTAAAGAATTGGTGACGGCAAGGCACTTGGATTAATACATTGAAGAAAGAGCACGACCAGCCCCTTAGGACCGCAACATGCCAGACAGAATGCCAGTAAACAATCCGCCTCAAGGTGTGATTAATGTGATCTATGGGACCATCGAACCTGAACGAGTTTGTAAACTCAGAAGGATGATAAAAAAGGTAGAGTACATGAGGGAGGTGCTAAATGTTCAACCGACCATGAAGATTGGGAAGACATAA